GGCACCCATCTTCCGGACGTAACGTTGATGATGCCGGCCTTCGATTCCAAGGGTGAAGAAATCCTCTTCTACGCGGCATCTCGGGCCCATCATGCCGATATTGGTGGTATCAGCGCTGGTAGCATGCCACCCCATTCGAGGGAACTGTTCCAGGAGGGGGCATCGATCCGGAGCGAAAAGCTGGTCAGCGGAGGAAAGTTTGATGAGAAGCGCGTCATTGAGCTGTTCTACGATGAGCCGGCTAGGTATCCTGGTTGCAGCGGTACTCGTACCCTTGCGGATAACATCAACGACCTCAGAGCTCAAGTGTCAGCTAACCAAAAGGGAATCTCCCTCATTGAGACCCTGATTGAAGAGTACGGACAAGAGACTGTTCAGTTTTACATGGTGAACATCCAGAAGAACGCAGAGCTTTGCGTCCGAAGACTGCTCAAGGAAGTAAGTGAGCGGTTCGAAGGCAAGGATCTCTCGGCGGTCGATTACATGGACGACGGTAGCCCCATCAGGCTCAAAGTCAAGATTGACCGTGAAAAGGGCGAGGCCGAGTTTGATTTCGAGGGGACAGGACCTGAAGTATATGGTAACATCAACGCCCCTCAGGCGATCACATACAGCGCCATCATATACTGTTTACGGTGCCTCATATCTGAGGATATCCCGTTGAACCAAGGATGCTTGAAGCCGATCCATGTCAAAATCCCTCCAAAGTCGATACTCTCCCCATCGCCTGGGGCAGCCGTTGTGGGCGGCAACGTGCTCACCAGCCAGCGAATCACAGACGTGATCCTCAAGGCGTTTGAAGCTTGTGCCGCGAGCCAGGGATGCTGCAACAACCTCACCTTTGGATTTGGCGGGAACCAGTCTGGGCAGGATGCCGTAAAGGGATTCGGATACTACGAGACGATTGCTGGCGGCAGCGGCGCCGGACCTACGTGGGTTGGAACCGACGGCGTGCATGTTCACATGACCAACACCAGAATCACCGATTCTGAGATCTTTGAGCGTCGCTATCCGGTGCTGCTTCGCGAGTTTTCCATCCGGGAAGGGTCCGGCGGCAAAGGTCAACATCGGGGCGGACACGGCGTGATCCGGGATATTGAATTTCGCATCCCGCTACAAGTCTCTATTCTTAGCGAAAGACGAGTATATCATCCTTATGGCCTCAAGGGAGGTGAGGATGGCGAGTGTGGTCTGAACCTGTGGATTAGAAATGTAGAGAAGGCTGTCAGCTGGGAGGAGTCGATAAAGGCGTTCCATGAAGGTGATGAACACTCTCGCGAGAAGGTCTTCGAGGAGCGACATATCAATATGGGAGCCAAGAATAGTGCTGCGATGAAGGCAGGGGAGAGAATCCGTATATTGACACCAGGAGGCGGTGGATTTGGGCCTGTCGGTAAAGAGAGCGTCGCTGTGAAAAGGCGAGACGAGACGGAAGGGTGGAAGAAGGGCAGTGGAGCTTCAAGAGATGAGATCGCTCTTCAAGCGTAAAGTTGGCTGGCAAGTGGGTGACATTGAAATTGAGACACTTAAAACATTAGGCTAGTTATTGTCGGGTTTGCGACAGATATTGTTAGATTAAGTGCTAATAATATACATTATGTAAATAATGTCGCTATATTTCGATTTATAATACTAAACTTCTCTATTCATTTGTAGAAAGTAATCTGTTCTATCAGGTGTTTCATTTCCTCTGTCACCCACTTGGCTGGATGTCGGAGGGCGCCGCCCGATAGAGGGTGGTGGTGATATAGGCTTAGATAAGGAGATACTTGCAGCGCCACTACAGATTCATGTTACAAAAAGTCTCTTGCTAGCATTGCGCTACTGGTGCTCAAGGAGAACAGAGCCCGTAATAGGCAGCTGCCTGTGGCCTGTGGGACCGTTGACTCACAACTCTCACAGCACTCACTAAGCCTAACCTTCTGTAGCTCTTTCCCCCGCCTCTGAATGACGCCTGCGAGATCCATAATATCGATACTAAAGTCCTCAAGCAGAGGCGGTATCTGGCGAACAATATTAGTAGGAGATGTCTAAGTAGTCTGTTAATGTGTACATGGCTCAACCCCCCTTCAATTTTGCCCACGAGCGTCATCCGTCTCTTTCACGTTTCCTCGTCGTACATAGAGATATTTATTCTCTCGGCCTTGTCGCGGAGAAGAGACGCAGAGGAAGCGTATATCGCCCAACAAGCAGAACACCTTCATCTCTGCTTGGTCTCGGAGAATTGCGTCTATCCGTTGCTGCCCGGGAGGCGCGTATAGAAGGTGCCTCATCACTTGTGTTGATCGCTGCTGAGCTGCACAAAATCAGCCAAAATGTCCTTCTCAAATGAAGAATGGGAGGAGGTCTCTCAGAGTATCCCATCCAAAGATGATCCTTTCCTTCAAAAGTATCTCGCTGGGAGAGGGAGCCTGATGGAACAAGAGAAGACCTCGCGCTCTGATGCCTCGTTCCGCGCCTCCCTTTCCCCCATTGCCAAGCGGGCATGTACTATTGTCGACCGCATCAAGGAGATGGAGAAGCAGACGGTGTGGACAGCCAGTGTGGAGGAAGAGATGGCCCAAACCCAGCACGAGCGCATCTTCCCTGGCATGATGTTCATGTTTGCCAAAGATCGCATGGAGAGCACTGCGCTTTGGAAGATTATCCGCCGGATGCCCAAGGGCTCCCTGCTTCACGCACACATGGACGCCATGGTCGACTTTGACTTCCTTCTTGAGTTCATGTTGCAAACCCCCGGCATGCACATGTCCAGTGACCGCGGCATCACCAACCAGGCCGCCAAGGACGATGCCGGCCTCATGTTTCGCTATAGAGCAAAGGAGAACGCTGAGGGTTCCCCATGGTCCGAAGATTACAAGCCAGGCACCTTTATACTTCTCACGCATGCGGCTGATGCATTCCCTGAGGGAGGTAGGGCGGGTTTCCTCAAGTGGCTGAAGAGCCGTTGCACCTTGGGTTTGGTGGATAGCCACGAACATCACCATGGACTCGATGCTATTTGGGATAAGTTTGGGAAATGCTTCATCGTAGTGGACTCCATCATCCATTACGAGCCTATTTACCGTGCCTTCCTTCGACGTCTTATGAGCGTTCTGAAGAACGATGGAGTAAACTGGGCTGAGCTACGGTAAGTACAAGCCCCTTCCCCTTCCTGTTGTGAGTCAATCCTAATGGAAGCGTCAAGGTTCACCTGGTCGCTCAATTACTGTCGCGACCGTCAAGAGGAACCAGAGAAGGACTACGTTCACATGTTTCAGGTTATTGAAGAAGAGGTTGCCCGGTTCAAGGCTTCTCCAGAAGGTGAAGGCTTCTGGGGACTCACCACCATCTGGACTAGCCTACGAAGCAACCCAACTCGGCCTTTGGTAGACAGCATGGAGCATTGCATCGCGACAAAAATCCAATTTCCTCATCTTATCGCCGGATACGACTTGGTAGGCTTCGAAGACTTCGGTCGGCCACTTGTTGATCTACTACCAGAGCTATTCTGGTTCCGCAAGCAATGTGCCGAGGAAGGGGTCAACCTACCGTTCTTCTTCCATGCCGGAGAGACACTTGGCGATGGAACCGCAACCGATTCAAACTTGTACGATGCGATTCTTCTTGGTACCCGGAGAATCGGACATGCCTACAGTCTCTACAAGCACCCGTTACTTATCGACATGGTCAAGGAGAAGCGTATTCTGGTCGAGTCGTGCCCGATCTCCAATGAGGTTCTTCGTCTATGCGCCTCCATCACATCGCACCCACTTCCCGCACTGCTAGCCCGCGGGGTTCCCTGTAGCTTATGCAATGATGACCCGGCCATGTTGGGTCAGGACACGTCTGGTATGTCCCACGACTTTTGGCAAGCTCTTCAGGGATGGGACAACCTGGGACTCGCGGGCCTGGGCAGCCTGGCGGAGAACAGCGTTAGATGGTCCGCTTTTGAGGACGAGGGCCAAGCTGAATGGATTAAAGGGGTTAGGGAGGCGAGCTTGGGTGACGGGATCAAGGCGAAGAGGATCAAGGAGTGGCAGGTGGAGTGGGAGAAGTTCTGCCTCTGGATCGTAACCGAGTATGGGGAGGAGTTTGATCCAGACGTGGCCGTTTCTAAACCAGTCGATGGAGAGTCAGCGATATAAGAGTTTGAATAGATAAGCGCAGAAGATCAAAATGATGATGAGTCTAGTTATCAAGCAACCAAAGAGGCAAATGAGAAAAATTCAAAATTTTGAAATTTGCTCCATCAATCCATCATCCCTCCCTCATTACCAACACCCCGGACCAAACAACACAAAAACCCCTAACGCCGATTTCACATCTCAACAATCCAAATCTCATCTCATCTCATCTCATCCCACGGTGTAACCGGTGAGAGTCTTTTCATTTGGACCTTTGCATTTGCCGCGTATGTGTTGTAGTACGATTATCCGTATCAAGGTTTAAGCGCCGAGCAGGTTCAACCAGGCGGGCTTGAGTAAGCACGACGGGGAAGTGGTCAGCGATGGCACACACACCGCCAGGGGGGGAGCCTCATGGGCGATCGTCGGATAGGGCAATGCCAGCAGGGGGCCAATGAACCGGCAGAGGGCAAGCTGACAAGCAGGCGTTGGGACTTTGGTGTTTGGGTGTGGCCCGTGTGGGTGGATAGACAGGCGTGCGGAAAAGTGAGAAAGTACCATTTGCATCGTTTATTGTTTTTTTTAATAATGATTTCTTTTTCTCGAAAAGCGGTTTACAGAGCGACCAACAAGCCCCCAATAAACGGGGGGGCTTCCAATGCCGTAAGGAAGAGGAAATGAAAATTGGTTGTAGAATTTCTCCCGCCTGGAGGAAACCCCTCTAACGACTAGGTAACCAGTAAAAGCTGTGTTTGCATCATCTTTGCGTCCTGCGCTGCGCTATATTGTTCGGTTTCGGTCCTGTCCGGCATTCCCGAAACGAGTTCATTGTAAGTGGCCAAAATGGATCTTTGGGGCCGGTTGCTCTCAATGGAGGTGCCCCAAGAGGAAAATCTAGAACTTGTCGAGCCATTGCGCAAAAGTCATGGGGACGAAATCCATCATGTGGTTGTTCTGGAGGGCCTCGTTGAGCGTGGCCTCTTGGAAATCGTATCGCCCATCTGCCGTGGCCATGAGCCGTCGATAGAAGCCGGCCTTCAGCTCGTCCCGGCTCTGAGAATAATAGGTTGTCAAAAGCTGGGCGTTGGAGTAACCCTGAGCGACGTAGCTGAATGTCACTGCGGGATAGAAAACAAGATAGAGAGACTCGTTAGTCTGGCCTCGACCCACCAACATTAGGCGAGGGGGGTGTCAATTTACCGTTGCGTATCAAGCCGTACGTCTCTACAAGTTCCTGGACGGACAGACGGTCCCCGCGAAGGGTGAACTCCCGAGGCCAGGCGTCCAGGCCCAGCTCGAGCGCCAAGACGACAAAGTGAACCAGGTCGTAGACTGACGTTAGACATACTATATTACTCGGAGGCTGGCCCTGGGCGTTCTGTGCCGCGTATTCGGCCGTGGCCTCGGTAACATTGAGCAAGTAGCTATTTGGGTGGGATACGCCGGCGCGGAAGCCCATGTCGAAGCTGCCCAGGCCCAGCGGGTGGAAGATCTCCATGAGCACGCCGCAGGAGAAGACGGTGTACCTCATCAGGTTCCGGTTCTGAAAACTCTGCAGCAGTGCCAAAGCATGGGCTTTTGTGCCGGCCGTCGAGCCGTCCCAGGGCGGTCGTTGCCACAGCTTGCCCTCGAACTCGGCAGGGACGAAGTGGCGGACCGTGCCCTCGCCGGCGGCCAGGATGAGATTGATCTGCTCTCTCCCGGAGACGGTTGAAATGACCAGGTCAACTCCCCGGAGTGCGTATTGCAAGCTTTCGGGGTTGAAATAGTCCACGATCTGGACCTGGATGTCTAGAGATTCGTATATAGGTTTCGGCTAGTGCAATGTTAGTTCTGATACGATTTGCCTGTATACTTTGAGGGGGAATCGGATACAGTTCTGGATAAAACAAGGACGTTGTGGGCGCTCTTTGCTCGCGATATCTGCGAGGCCAGGAGGCACCCCAGCCCCCCTCCACCGGCTAGAGCTATGCGCATAGTGAGCCCCAGTAGTCGACACGGCAGTAGGGCATAGGTGTGAATGCAATTGAGAAGAGTTCATCCCGCATTAGCCTGCAACAGAGGAACAGTTGGTCGGATTGGTCCGCCTTATAAGAGTTCTCCGGAAGGGGCCGCTACATCTTGGTAAGGCATCATATAGCTGGGGCTAGGCAGCTGTCCAGTTAGAACGCCAACGGGCGATGACTGTGCTTGGCAGAGCGGCACGGGTCGTCGACAGATTCCACTCGATCGGCATTCTCTGCTCGCGGTGCGATGGCGCGCATACATTGCATGCTTAGCTTAGGGATACATATGTTGGGGTCCACGGGAGAGCGCCTGGGCTACATAGCAAAAGGGGGGCGATTTCGACGGGATCGGCACTAAGATGCTGATAGGAACAAGCGCCCGTCTTAGGAACTGCCATCCTATTGATGGTGGCTTATGGGCTGTTGGGCAACAAGAGGTGGCTGAGGCCATTGCTGATGGACTTTTAGATCAACGATGAGCAGTGGCGAGGCAATCTACAACCAGTCCCGAGGCCGAATGCCACTATTCGCTGCCTCCGTCGCAACTGGCTGTCGCAAAGGACCCGGATTTGACTCAAGTCGAAATAGAACTCGGGCGAGGAACAGGGGCGATTTACCGGTCAATGGCCCAGCCGCATGACTGGCTAGACAGGAATTGATGCTCTGAGGCAGTGGACATGTCATCTTGGACGAGTTACGAGATCCAAAAGGTCCATCTCAGCGTTCTTTCTGCTTCGTCCTCCTCCTTTTGCGTGCTCACAAGGGCAGATTTGGATCCATCCGCCTAAATTAAGACGCCAACATGACGGCTAATGGGTGAATAGGGGAGAAAATAGGTGTGGTGACATCCACAGACCCAGCTAACAAACATAAAACACGGCAAATATGCACTCACAAATAAGACCTGCATGGAACCAACCATCAACCAGCTGCGGTGGCCTGGCAATGGTCGCATGGGGCCGTTCCGGGTCGTGGGGGCTCGATACAGCAGGCCAGCACGCAGTGTCAGAGTCAGTCAGAGTTGGAACGGGAGCTGTTATTGTTAGCGACGGATCTCAACGCTGCTTGGCATGTGTCTCAGATGGCATCGTAGCACTCACTTGACCCAGGTGGCTCAGCACCCCTGGACTCAACACCCGTTCGGTGCCATGTCTTGTGCCCGACTCTCCGGCAGTCGTCTGCGTCCGTGGGCAGACTTTTGGGTCTTTTCCTTTGTTCGCGGGAACGTGAATCTCGCCACTGCGGGATAGGACCAACAGGTGGTGTCTGCCTTGCGTGAACATGTCCATTGCGCCCGCATGGCAATCGACAACGCGACCAGCAAATGCCGAGTGACTCCCCTGTTTAACCCTTGGAGCCAACGCACAGTACGGATACCCCGTTCGCATCGCATCGCATCGCATCGCATCAAATGGCATTGCATCGCCGGCCTTACCTCAGGTTCAGATATAGACTTCAATATGTGCGCTGCTCCTTGGACATGTCTGGGCGCGCCTGTATCCGTCGGACAGGTCTCTCAAAGAGGAGCAGTCCAATACCGATGCCATGGATATACTTAGACACGAGCCAGTATGCAGTCAGGTAATAAGAGGATCTACCCAAGTCCTTTTTTATTACCGATTTAGTGCCAATTCCTCCTGCCTGTCCAATACCGGAGGCCTGGCTGAACTGCCAACGTATGTTTTCAGCCACAGTCTGGACAAATCCAGCTGAAGAGTAGTACCTATGGCTCTTTCACGCTGGATCCGACCCGCGTGCTAATTGCGGTTTCGGTTTCTATTCCCAATCACAGGCTTTATTTAGACATCGCTCATCATCAGCCTCACTCACCTCACCCACACCCACAGACAGTCTCGTGCAAAACCTCACACACAGCACAAACACATGTCTCTGGCTCTGGCTCTGCCCCAGGCTGTGCGCACGAGCGAGGCAATTTTTCCGAGGTCCAAAACCAAATCAACCACCGCCGGCCTCAATTCCGCACTTAGCAAGATTTGAGCCATGGACCAGGGAAGGAAACATTCCGCGGCCCACAGCCAACTCGACCGCCATGGATCTGGCTAACCACTCTTGGAACCTGATGGTCGAGAACATGTTCACGTTGGTGATGTTGGCTGCGAATTATGGTCTTATTACTGCCTATATTCCATGTATCCATGTAAAAGACTAGACAGCGCTCGCCGTCGCAGTCAATCCCCCGCGCCTGCGTTCCGCCAACTACCCCAGGTTTCCACCATTTGGCGTCCACCTCGTTGGTGTGGCGCGGAACTCTGTCCGTTCCCCTCGTCACCAGATCATGGAAAAGCAAGCCAGGAACGGATGGTGTGAATGAGGGTTTTGGACGAGGGTGCCGTCGAGGGGGGGCTGGTTGTGAGGGTATTTTGCAGATAAAACGGACGTCTCTCTGGTCGTAGATCAACTCCCCCATATCCCATCAAATGCCACTCTGTTGCAGTTGCACAGAGTAGAATGGAGTAGAATGGCATCCGGCGCTGATAAGGGTTTCTTCCAGCAGGCCCCTTCCCTGGAGAATCATTTTCACGATGCTACTTATCAACGGTGCTTTAAACGTACGTCTATCCCGTGCCATCCGTGTTGGGCTCGCTCCTTTTTGAAGACATCTCGGCAGTTACTCACCACTAATACTGGTCTTTAGTTTTCTTGCCCGTACATGTCGTCTCTGCAACGCAACACGAAGTAGAATCTCTTGGCGATGAAGTTATCTCTGACCAGATTTTCCGATGGATCTCCGATGCCGAGCGAAACCCCCCTTTCCTGAGAGGCTCAGGGCGAGATGTTTTTGGTCAATGGACTGGGGAACTGGTGACGGGGGAAGGGTGGCGTCAGTTACAAGACTTTGGGATAAAGAAAGGGTAAGTTCGCTTACACTTTTTGAACCACTACAGGCGGTTCGGCATGTGCTGATGTACAAGTAGATTTGTGGCTACGGGCTACGACACGGAGTACGGACCCTACTCGCGACCGCTACAATTCCTACGACTGCTATTGTGGGAGCCATCCTGTGCCAACGTTACATGCCCATCAGCTATGCAGGATGGGGCGGCTCGCGTGCTGCAAACGCACCTCGCTTCCACGGCGCAACCTGGCATGTCGGACGAACAACGCCTCGTGTTCCGAGCCGCGCTACGACGTCTCCTCTCACGAGATCCCAAAACAGCATGGACGAGTGGGCAGTGGATGACAGAGAGGACCGGCGGGAGCGACGTGTCCCAGACTGAGACGAGAGCAGAGCATAAGCCAGAAGACTCTGAGACCGTGGCGGGAGGTGAGGAGGCACGGCTGGGGCCTTGGAGCATCAATGGTTTCAAGTGGTTCTCGTCCGCCACGGATTCGCAAATGACTATTCTACTTGCCAAGACTCCGAAGGGTGCGCTGTCAGCGTTTTTTGCTCCAATGCGCAGAGGTGTTGGGGGTTCTATAGATAACCAGGGACAGTTGAACGGGGTCCGGATTCAGAGACTCAAAGACAAGGTTGGAACTCGGTCTCTGCCAACTGCCGAGCTTGTACTAGAGGATATGCGCGCTTGGATGATTGGCGAGGAGGGCCGTGGTGTACAAGAAGTCAGAACTATTCTCGCAATCACGAGGATTCACTCTGCAGTGGCGGCCGTTGGCTACGTCGGCCGCGGTCTAAGCATTGCGCGAGCTTATGCCCGTGTGAGAGACATCAGCGAGGGCAAAGGCCGCAGAACGAGATTAACGGACAGCGTGCTGCATATGCATACTCTGTCCGACATGTTTGTCCAGTACCGGGGCATGATGATGCTCACGATCTTCACGTCCTACGTTCTCGGGCTTTCAGAGCATAACAGCGATGGAAGAGCCGTGGCTGGGGTGAAGACTAAGGTACTGGACGCATTGACACCCCCGCAGGAACACGTCGCTGGCCTCATCCGGATCTTGACTCAGTTGACCAAGGCCTATGTGTGCCAGGAATCAGTTTCTATTCTCTTCTCCTGCATGGAGGCCCTGGGCGGCGTTGGATATCTGAACAATGCAGAACAGGAGCACCTCAACATCTCGCGGCTCTGGAGAGATTGTGCAGTGCTCCCGATCTGGGAAGGTACTACAAATGTGCTTTGCACCGACTTCATCAAGACTGTGAGGCATCCTGTTGCCGGCAAGGAGACATTGAATGCACTAAGGAGCTTCGTCCAAAGGGCTCCAGCGTTCCAGGGCCCAGGACATGCAAACCTGCCCGCCTGGAACCCGGTGCAGAGATGGGATGTCATCGAGCGCCGTCTTCTCAGCGAGTCACCAGATGAGCTAATGAGAAACGCCAGAGAGCATGTTTGGCAGACGGCGCAACTACTGGCGTCACTGCTACTATACGCTGATGCTCAAGCGGACGGCGATCCGGTGGCTTGTGACGTCCACAAGCGGTTTGCACAGTGCAGCAACATTGGTCTGGACTCTAATCCGATGACCAGCCCGGAAACAAACTTGGCCATGGACTCGGCGATTGTGTATGGCGGCGGACCGGTTCATCACGGCCGACCAAGGCTATAGAGCAGTTGCGCAATAGCGGCCGGCGTTTATGTCGTAGTCCAAATCCACATATCGAAATGTGACCTGAGCAGCGCTGCTTTAAACACTGCGCACCTAGCTTCGGAATACATTATGCAGAACTGTAACTATGATACGTAGGTAAATAAGAGAGCAAAGATCAAAATAGTTCCTAGCTGTAAAAGAAGAGGTAGCAGAAAAAGAAACCAGTGCTATTGATATACTCTAAGCACCCAGGGAGATGGGTTGCTTCTCGGCATGTTCCATGTATAATATCGATGAAACTCAATCTTTCGAGTTCAAGAGTGAGTTGTTCAATCAGAGGACCTATATCTTTAGCTCATGGAACACTCTCACCGCCAATTGAACATATTGGGCGTGGTCGTGCACACCGTAACGAACAATTCTTGGCAAACTTTTAAACATGGGAGTTTTCGAATTCCGTGTGCCATTAATATTTTAGTTGATCAACTTGGATGAACCTAGCTAACCTCAATGGCACTTGTATGATCAAGGCTAGGCTCTCCAAATGGCCATGGAGATATCATAGGTTTTGGTAAACGTACTACCAGGCCTAGGACTGGCTGAAGGACTTGAGGGGTAATTTCATATCCATGGATAAAATTATTCGTAATTGTGAGAAACGTTGTGTTAGAAAGATAGGCGATGAGGAGTGCATCCGTTGTTTGACTGTAACTGGTCAATCCATAGGCGTGCAGAAGCACTCCAGTCACCTCAGTGAGCCATTCTCTTGCCCCTACTGAGAGAGTATCCAAGCAAGAGCGGCGAAGATGCTAAGACGAAAGAGTTGGCACCATCAAAATCTCATCGCATAGCATGACAATGACGACGTAATTCGTTTGGGCTGCGCGTACATTTTGCTGCATCAAAGTTACGTAAGGCTCCTGTTAGCGGTCTCGGTCGCTGAGGCTACAGGGCTGGGCAGCGCTTAGTCACCAGGGATCAGCGCCTACGTATACGTCAGGTCTAGGTCCCATGAACGTGGCCAGGGGCTAGTAACAAGGCAAGCTGTCTCCCGGTTTCATGAATGGCACAAGCAAGCAATCACACAAAGAGTTTGAGGATTGGGCAACGACGTAATTCATGCACTATCCCACCCTCTGATTCAGATCTCTAGGTTGCCTTGTTGTGCAACCCTACAGGCTGATCCCCAGCCCCGCGCCATAGCAGCCCAATACGAACAGGGTATGACCTCATCCACGACAACAGCTATGCTTGAGCCGTAGTCAAATCAGCTTCACACACATCACCAGCCGCCAATCAACATCGAGATCAAGTTACCGACTGGACTGGGTGAGACCAGCTCTGGTTGGCCATCGCGGCACACCCTTCCATACCCCCAAGAAGCTGCATCCTTGCTAGGCGTTTTCTTTGCACCCAAACAGAATGCAAAAACCTGCTTGGCCGAGCCATTCAATGCAAACCCAAGGGGTTGATCTGAATCCGTCATGCGGTGACTCTTGCCCAAGGGACTACGTATGTCTTTGCCGGGGTGGTAAGGGCTCGCCTCACTCACCGTCAGGCACATTTAATCCCATGCTGTGCCCAACTCTCATCTGAACGTCCGTGTAGTATCAGGTACATAGACTCGTATCGCCCAGTCTTGTATAGATTTTTGAGTGTGCTTCATCTAGAACAACACAACCCCTTGGTCATCTTCGGCAATTCGCAGTCGCGAGCAAAGATACATTTTCTTTTAGAAGACATTTACCATCCACCACCATGGCTTTGGGATCCCTTGTCAACCTGATCCTGCGCCTAGCGCAGATTGCCTTTGCCGCCATCGTTGCCGGTGTCAACGGGCAGATCCTCCACGAATCCCGTGGCGCCTCCTCTTGGGCGCTGGGCCGGTTCATCTACACGGAGACCATTGCCGGTATATCACTGTTCATACCCGTGATATGGGTCTTCCTTGCCGGTGGGCACTTCAGCTGGGCCCTCGACATTATCATCAGCCTCTGCTGGTGGGCAGCATTCGGTCTCCTCGTTGACGTAAGTGTTCCCTCACCACACCCAACTTTACAGTTCTCTGCCCCTCATTTCCCGCGTGACCGCTCTCTCTATGCCTGGCCGCGTTGCTGACTCTTGTCCCCCCGTAGAATCTCAATGGAAGTGCGTGTGGCTCCGCATTCAACTGGAGCAACGTCCGCCTGTACGGCGACGACCCATGCGGCAAGTTCAAAGCTGTCGTCGCCTTCGCCTTCCTGTCGGCCATCGTCTGGCTCGCCTCTGCCGTCTTCGACCTCTTCTGGGCCCGTCGCCACCGCACAACTGAGCCCAGAACCCATCACCGCAGATGGCACAGAAGCTACGTCTAAGAGCTTCGGCGATGTTGAAGGGCTCCTAGCGCTAAATGATGGTATGAAATACACGAACGGACGAGATTAGTCGGGGTTGTTTCGATTCTCTATGTCAGTATTTAAGGATCTATCAGATTGGAGAAGGAAGGTCGGCACTGCCAAGGGTTTGCGGTTTGCCAAGGGGAATCTAATGCAGCATCTACAGACACATCAGCGTCAATGATAGCTTATTTAGAGGGGTTAGATTGTGGATTTAGCGGTCGTGGTTAATGTGGTTTTTCTATGTCTTGCTTCTCACAAACTGTTTTTAATACCCTTTCCTTTTCTTCCTAAGTTGCTTAATATCTACGAAACCAAACATGAAAAACCGATGATTTGAAAATTGAAGATTCTCTCACCCCAAACTCTGTTGATTTCTAGGTCCCTAGTCAACTTCCCGACACTTGCTCCCTTCAAGCGGGCCGATAATTTCACTTCCGGCGTATACAATGGCACAATTTACGCCAGATTCCCGTGCCGTAGAGGATTTTCGCGGAAACTATTGTCCTTTCTCCAGCATCCACTTCTTTTTTCCGACTTAGAACGCGATCTCGCTGCTTGAGACATCGCACGTGACCCTAAACGCGGAGGAAGGTCATGGGGCCACGTTCAGGAACCAAGCTATTGCCAAACCTACAACGTGCTCATCGCTAGTATGGCGAGCTGGAGCCGGTTCCAGACCTTCTGCCCGGTTATTTGAAGTCTGGGGCCGTGAGATCGAGATCCTCGTTAACCGTTGAGGGGGCAGCGCACACATTAGGCATAAGTTGTGCCGATCTTACATATCGATAGCGTCATCCCGTCAATCTACTTCTCCACTCTCTTTCTCCCGCTCCTTGATCACTCCTTTGGCTCGTTCGGTCGCGAAATGCCCTTGCGCCACCGGAAAACCCATGATCCATGAGCTCATTGTGAGGAAACTAGCCTGTACGTTTGCGGTATGTGACTGGAAGCTTACCGACTGGCCGAGGAACACGACCACTGCCAGGTCAAGGGCACCAGCCACGCAATTACCTGGCAGGATTGCTCAACGCACCAGCCACAGTTATCATCAAATGTATGATGCTATGATATCTATTTAGCTTTCTACGTACGGTCTAGTTCCCGGGATCTACTCCCGATTTGACGGCATACGGCACAGCAAAGCTAGAGAAGCAAGGCACATGCAGGTAACCAGTACACATCCGGGTTGAGGCTTACATCGCTGTTTCACAGACAACGGCACAATTGCTCAGTATTGTTCGTGTAGTCAAGACGCGCAATACCATCCGTCACCGGCTCCCCACATCTGAATCCCCATCTCTCTCGTAGCTGGCTAATTTGCCAAGCCATTGGAACTCTTGTGTTGCCGAGCGCCACATCTCTCCAAGCTGATGCGATCTGTTAGGACTCTGGTTGGGCGTGACGAGACGGCCCTATCCCATCTCACAATGCCCAGCTTGCCTCATCTCGACGTCACCACTTGCTCTGAGGCGCCTGGACCTCAGTCGACGATTCCCACTATGACGTCCGATCAGGGTCTCCTTCCGAACCAACTAGTTCGTGCTCAACACGGTGGCGTGGATCGATGGGTAGCACCTTCTTGTTTGCAACTCATGTTACTTTCTTGGTGAAGCTTGTAACTCATTGCTCCAAGATCTCTATATAAAGCGAGCGTTGTCCTCTCAAAGCTACTTTCCTAACCCATCACCTCGATACCCAATACAACAACAACCACTTCAAACACCTTATTACAACGTCCTAAGACGATCACACTACATTTTTTTTAAGTTAATTAACAACTTACCCATCAATCTTCATTCATCATGAGCGGCTTCGGATCCAACGTCCCTGAAGGCACCCACGGCCACCACAACTCCCGCCTGGCCAACGCTGCTGACCCTCGCATCGACTCCGATAGGGATCACCGTGCCGCCGCTGGCAACACAACTGGTCTTCAGTCTTCTGGCCTTCAGTCATCTGGCTTTGAGTCTTCTGGCATTCAGTCGTCTGGACTTGAGTCCTCCCGCCACACCACTGGCGTCCATGAGCCAACCCACCATGGAGTCGGAACCCAGGAGGGTGCCTTTGGCACAACCGGTGCCAACCGCGGTGTCAGCGGCCCCGCCTCCAAGACTGATGGTCCTCACAGCAGCAACCTGCTGAACAAGGCCGACCCTCGCGTCGACTCTGACCGCGATGCCAGCAAGAACTTGGGCCTGAACCCTCAGCGTGATGCCACCACCGACACTATCGGCGGTACCCAGCGCACCACCCACGGTGATACCTTTGGTACCACTACCGGCCGCACCACTGCCGGCGACACTCTTGGCTCTACCACCCACGGCACTACCCACGGCACCACCCACGGCACCACCCATGGTAACACTCTGGGCTCTTCTACCCACGGTACTACCCACGGCACCACCCATGGCGATACTCTGGGCTCTACCACCCACGGTCGCACCACTGGTGCTCCCGAGGGCACTCACGGACCTCACTCTTCCCGTGCTGCCAACGCTGCCGACCCCCGCGTCGACTCTGACCGTGACCACCGCGCTGCCCACGGCAAGACCACCGGCACCACTGGAACCACTGGTCTTGGTAGCTCCAACGTCCCCAACACCCGCTCCACCGGCCCTGCCCCCAACACTGCCGGCCCTCACAAGTCTGACCTGCTGAACAAGCTCGACCCCCGAGTTGACAGCGACCTCGACGGTAGCAAGACCGTCGGTGGTGACAAGACTCACTCCCACTAAGTCCTTTAACCAACTTGGTCTACGGCGAACAGTGGCGCATGCTCCTGGGATACGGTGTTGTCGTCGGAATGATTGATGATTCTAATGATTATCGCGGAACCTTATTGTAGCTTATATCACTAGTCTGAACAGCTGAAATGAAACTTTCATAAATATTTGTCTCAATATTAGTGACATTTGTGATCCGTGCCATCGATGTAAGACGTTTTGTCACCACTATACTTACCCAATATCAATATGCCATCAAGACGTTTATATTTCGAAATTCTTGCTAATATATAAACCTTGCTAATCACTGCTGAAGTGAAAAATAGCAAGTTTCATGAAATTTCAACAGTTAATCACGTATTGTTTATGATGATTACCTAGACAAGTGTATATGTGGTCGATGAAGGAGTATGTGCAGTCGCCACCTAAATAATACGGGGCACTTAGCGATTGCTTCCAACAACCAAAGGCTGGGCTTGGCCATTGCCTGGCCCGCGCCGCATTACCATCCATCGATCTTCACCAATGAATCAAGTCCGCCATTCATTTCATCACTCATAGCCCATCCTCTTGTATGCACTGTGTCGCAGTACAGTTGCAAGAATGAGCGCCCCCATTCCTCAAACGCTCTGGAATGCCCGCATCCCGCTTCACATCACCCATCCGTCATCCCCCACCAGCCCGTTCATCGTCAGCGTGCCGCGCTTCAGCTACTTGGCGCTGCTGCTCCCCCGCCTCTCGGCCTTCTTCAGCACGCCCTGCTCGAGCTTCCACTTCGAGGACGTGCAGCTAAGGAACCTGGCCGTCGGGCTGCTGGTAGACCTCTACCAGCCCCATCTACCGTGGAGACTCACCGTTAACGACGGCATCGGCTGGGATATCGGGGATACCTTCATCAACTCTGTCAAAGAGGCAAGTCTCCCTTAACCCTCCAAGTCTCACATGTTCGGTGTGCTAACCCAATCACCCAGGCTGACTTCATCCGCAATGGCAACGCCAACCAGATCATGAAGATGTCCAAGGACCACACCACCCAGCTGTGGAACTCGGTCGTCGACAACGACCACGCCACCTTCAGCCGCATCAACTCCCGGCTCCTCAACGCCCCCACAGCGCTGAGGAACGTCCCCGTGCGCATCTACATCCCCTCGTCGCCCATGTCGTCGTCCGCCGCCGGCAACGCGCCGTCAGAGGCAGCAGGCTCCTTCAAGGTCGTCCAGGCCCTCATCCCCGCCCTGGGGCCGGACCGCAAGCCCCAGCTCCTGGGGCAGGCGCTCAAGAAGCTGATGCCGATGCTGTTCCCCAGCAACCGGGATCCGATCCTGGCCGGGCTGATTCTTCATGGGGCTCCTGTGCCGTTCCAGGCGCCGTTGGAGAGCTTGATGAGGGAGGCGGCGTATCCGGATGGCTGGCTTTGTCTTGTTGTTGTGGTTTGATTCGGTAATGGAGGGGCGTTTTAACGGGACTCATGAGATAATGAGATATGCTATTAGCCAAGACACTTCCTTAGATTTATAAAGTTACTGTTATACCTCTCTTTCGTTACATATTCCATTTGCGGTTGTTCAGATAGCAAGTTTCGCTGCGAACAGCAGCACAGGAAAGTTATGTTATGGGTTTAATAAACAACAGATGAGAATTCGCAAAGGCGTACTTTAAGCTACCTAGGTTTTGGGTCCAAGTATCTTCTTCCCGCATCTCTCTACGTAAACGTAATTTGTGTCCCCATGAGACTTCTATAGGCAGAATCAACCGCTTTCCTCTTCCTCTTCTTGACTTCCTCATCCTCCCCAGCGTCTTCCTCGTCCTCGTCCTCCTCTTCACCAGGAACCTGCGGCGCCCAGGCTCTAATGTGTCCGTCAAGATGGGCGCTGTATATCGCACCAGTAGAGTTCCCCCCGCCCATCACAGGTCCGGTGGAGGCCCTCCCCCCACCGGTACTGCGCCATACAATGCTGGAGATGCGGTTCCTCCCCAGTTCGTTAGACCTAGGCCCCGCGGGGTTGATCGTGCCCGGGCTTCGCAGCCGCGTGAGGAGCGTCCCGTCATGAAGGTGGAAGAGGAGAATCTCCTGGTCGTTCGCCCAGACGAGGACCTCTCGCTCCGACATGCCAGCCGGGGTGACCACTATGCTCGCCGTGCGCGCATGTCGATTCTGTATCAGCGGGCCGAAACTAGTCAGGGTATTGGCCCCAGTGGCGGCATCCCAGACCCTAATCCGGTCGTCCAGCCCGGAGGATATGATGTAGTTCCCGTCACTCGTCCACTGGAGTCCGTTTACGGCCTCGTCGTGCGCCCGCGCGGACGCACGGAAGCGAGTCACCTGGTCGGGGTTGATGTCGGCCGCGACGGCGTGCCGGTACTTGTGGACGACGCCGAGAGAGTCCTCCTGGTCGAGCAGGGAGAGCACGCCGCCGGCTCTGCGGATATCCCAGATGCGCACTTTCCCGTCGGCGTGGCCTGTGGCGAGTATGTGGTCGTGGCGGGGGCTCCATGCCGTGGACAGGACGGGCCCGCCGTGAGCAACGAGGGCTTGGACGGCCGAGCCGGATTTGAGATCCACGAGCCGGACATGGGAGTGCTGAGTCGCGCAGGCGACGAGGAGGTGATCGGCTATGGGGCTTGTCGAGTGCGAGTATATCGTCGCATTCAGGTCGAAGCTGGCAGAGAGGGTCGATCGCTCCGTGGACCACAGCTTCAGCGACTTGTCGTACGAACTCGAGAGAAACGCGTTCGAGTCGAAGGGGTAGAAGGCGAGGTAGGTAATCCCGTGAGTATGGCCGCTTCCGCGCTGCTCACTGGTCGACCGCGCAATCGTGCTCACGGGTCTAAACGTGTGGACTTGGTGCGGGTTGGCGCAGCTCTCGAGGTCCCAGAGCTTGATGTTCCCCTCTGCGCCGCCCGAGATCAGGAGACGGCCGTCGAACTTGTCTACCGCGAGGCTGCTGACGCCAGCGCCATGGGCGCGGATATTATGAGGGCGGTCCTGGACGACGGTCGGTTGTTGATCTAGTGCCAGCTCGCCATTGAAGCGATGCTGCGGTGCCGGTGCGAAGGAGCGAAGTAGTTCTGTGGTGTGGGCGAGCGCGAAGTCGCGGGGAGACAAGTCACCCGTCTCGCGGGCAAGAAGGCGAGCCTGCATTCATCTGAGCTTTGCGACCAGAAATGTTGTATTCTCGCGACCTAGAGGTTGGTTTCTAGAGTTAACGGTGGATGGTGGCGTCTGGATGCGTATGACGTGTTTCAGGTGGGCAACTGGATAGGCCAAACCGTGACTTCTGCCTACCCCACACCCAAGTTTTAACTGTAACTTTCATCAACTCAACCTCGTTCCAACATCATTATTAGATTCAAAGGGCCTCTTAGCCCTTTGATGCTATTCATGTATTACCCTCTCTATCTATACTGAGAAAACGAAGCGCTCAGTGTTATGTCCTTGCTTGACTAAAAAGTTTATTATCAAATGCATTCACGCATTCATGAAAATTCAAAATCTAAAATCTTGGGAATCAGCAAGTTCAACTTTGATCTTATACCAGCAATCTAAAAACAAAACCCAAACGTCACAGCAAGAGAGGAAGTTCACATGAAAAATACGCAAAACACGCACGATGGACTCAGAAGGGGATGGACCTCCAACGTGGAGGCGTGAGGAAGCCCATGAGCCAGAGTCGTTCCAACTAACGAGCCAACGTCGTCAAGCCACAGTGTTTGATGCTGTTGCAGGTACGCAACCGAAGTTGATATCCTCATTTCTCTCGCCAGAACCAAGCCGCTGATACTCGATCTAGGAAAATTGACCAACAGGCATGGCCGCCTGGAAGGTGATGCTCCGGCCACCCAAACACTCTACTCTACCAAGGAGGTGCCCTTCGGCCCAGACGAGGTCCTCTTCCGGCGGAAAGAGGCACCCCAGCGTTACGAGGAGTATGACATCTACAAGTCTCATGTGAGGGACCTCCCGCGAGCTGGCCAGGGTGTCCTGCCCGAGAGCGACCTGCTCAAGGCCATCCACTCGTATACCAGCCGCTGCTATGGGAGTTTACATCGCCAGGCATCAGAAGAGGATACCCTGGACGTCAACGAGCGCAGCATGGACGAGACGGCCCTCCTTGCGTTTGGAATATTGCTCGAGGAGGCGAGCCGAGAGGTACTTGGTCGTCACGGAGACCTCGTATTCACCGAGGGCCTCGATGGAGGCGAAGAAGGTGCTGCTCCCAGTGACGCGGTAACTGGGCGATTCGTAGTACCCTCAGGAGCCGGAGACCAAGAATCAGGGGCGGGGGCTCCATCTCGCAAGAGGCGAAGGGTGGCAAAAAGCGAAGAAGATTCTCATGACATGTGAAATACCGCGACGGCTCGAACCTTTCATCCCATGACTCAAAATATTACCCCCTAGTGCCTGGCTTAAACCGCTGTTGGCCGAACAAGAAACTCCCTCCAACGTTTCATCTACGGAGATCTGCGGAGGGGATTGGCGATCTGGTCCCTTAACCTGAATATCTTGGGCAGCAAGTCCACGTTGGGAGCATATGATCTGCGCTAGCTGCAACGGAGATCGTTTATTTACCCGTACGATTGGGAGCGGCGAGACGGCGAGCTCAGACCGAGAGAATACTGATCCTCACCGGAGCTGATCTGGTACGTACATGCGCGTATACACATAAAAAAACCTGCTCGATGTAGGAAGCGGTACAGATACAATGACATCAGGGTCATATAAACAGAAACACACTACCTACGAAACTAGTTGTGCTGATTTTTCTCCTTATGTACCGTTTACTAGTTTGCAACTAGTGAAAAATTACAGATCTACCCCTATGTCTGCCCCTAGAATCATGCCCGGCTTCATCCCGTTCCGACCCAGCCTCGCCTCGTCTGTAACTATCGACAGCATCGACGTCAATTATTGAATCTGGGCTAACCTAGACCAAGTCCATGACACGTTCAGCAGCAAGCGAGCTCAAGTTTCAGTCCATTCCGATTCATTCACGTCCCATCTGGTGTGGCATTGAGCGAGTGGCCATTACCAGGGTGCGCCGAGAGGAACTAGCCATCTCGCTGTACGCTTATACCATTAACCTAAGATGAGCTTTAATTGCGTAATCCAGCCTACTTGGAAGAAAAAAAATTCACTGAAATTTGAATAATTTGCCTTCTGGGATCTACTGCGGTTAGATCGGGAACACGAGGAGGGAAGGCGAGAGGGGAATTTCCACAGTCTCGGGTTAACCGCGAAGGGGGAGGGGGTCCCTCTCCGCTTGGCGTCGCCTTAGTTACCACACTACGTCGATAGATAGTCCGCTCGTCTTTGTTGACGAAGCCAATCGACTGACATGGCGGTGGGAGTACATACACCCGCCCGAGCAACGCATGGCTACCCGGGTACTAGCAGAAGGGAGGCCAGGAGGGGCCCCCTCACGATCCTTCTTTTATGTGGATTCCGCTGTGCAAGGAACGAGGAGAGAACCTAGAGCCCGACACTTTGGGTGGTGGGAATGCCGAGACATCTGGCACAGCGGAGAATTTTTCTCTAATTTTTCTTTGTTCTCTCCTTGTTCGTCGATGGTTCTAGCTGGTATTCGTATTAGATGACGATTACGGGAGCGGACGCCCCGGTTAATGTGGACTGCGCAGCTCGGTATGTAGATGTCCTACTGTAAAAAGAGGACCATATCGGAACGGCTGCAGCTGTACAGTAGTCTGGCTGCCCCCATGACAGCTGAATGCGAGATATAGTACACATGGAAAATCGCAACGGCCGCTGGCCTCCCACCTCGTGCCGTTAGACCGCATATCATGGTGCACATGGATCAGCATGAGGGGATCTTTTATCCTGCTGCCTGAGGAAATTCTCTGGCAACCACCGGCCGCTCTCGCCGGGCCAAGAGATACCGTTCATCGTCAGCTGAACCCCCAACTGCAGATAGATGGACCCTTTGACCCTTCTTGGTGGGCTCCGGTTTGACCAGCTGGCTGTCCCTCGTGGGAGGGAGGGAACCGGGAGCTAAAGGAGCCCATCAAGCATGTGTATGTACCGCCTCCCATGCTGGAAAAACAAGTCCGGAAGATCGGTTGTCGGACAGTGATTGGTGATGGGCTTCTTGGCCGATCTGCTAACAGGATTACTGGTTCCCAGAAACCTGGTAAGGAGTGGACCCTGCCCTGCTTCAAGGCAAAAATTCAGTTTCGACAGCTGGACCATGCCATCATTGAGCAACCATTGAGGAACTACCGTTCGTCCAGTCCCCTGTTTCTGGTGGCTCTCGACTGACTCTTGCTAGGTAGACAGCTACCGGCACCAGCAACGCAGGGGTTGGTTGGCAAGCCAAAAACACTTTTGACCAATACTCGCCTTGGGTGTGGTATGTATGTAATATGTATATGCACATACATGGACTGCGTGTTGTACGGGACGTGCGTCTACATGAGTCTACGTGAGACCCTCGGCATCCACGACAGCGGTCATTGGTTGCACAAGTTTCGTTTCTGATGAAAATTCCCGCCTATTTTGCCGTTTCTTTTTCGGGTTGACGGAGAGGTACTTGTGAGGACAGTGTTGAATATGAAGGCTGACACGGCCTGGCCCGTTGGGCATCAACAGCTCGACCATCCGTGGATGTGGTGGTGATGGAGGGCTGACAAGATACCTCACCCCAAGTCCAAGAATGTACGTACCCGCTCCTACATGGGCTGCGGCTGGTGGCCTCTTGTCACTCTGCCATCTGAAGGGTCCTGTTTGTATCCGGGGTGCTTATGCGCGTCTTTCTGTGTCTCTTCCCCTCTGTTGTGGTCCTGTGAGTCTCATCTGCGGTAGCTGTACAGCGAAATCTCACTGGAATCTAAGACAGTGAATCAGTCATCGATGACCACAGACCAACCAGTATGACCACTCCTCCGCCTTTTTTACACACTAAGCCCCTAATCAACAGCCTGTATGCGCGGTACATATCCTCGCTTTGTTGTCATTGACACATTGTAACCATTATTCATATTAGGTATTTCAGTGCCTGGCAAGAGTGGGGATGCAGATCCAACCACCACGGTCGGTGTTAGATCATCGCAGGTAGCATCAACACACACACCCCCCCTTCCAGCCCTCCGACCTCCAACCAACAGCACAGCATGACGTCTGGTCCTTTGCTGCGGCATAACCATCTGGAGACGGGGCGCCATTACGACACCGCGGTGGACTTGTGGCTCCCAAGTCCCCAGTCCAGGGAATTCTGGAAATGAACGTTTAATCAAAGCTACGGGCAGGTCTCATTGTGGGGATCGCCTGGCACTGAAACACGACGACTCGCGCCCTCTCCAGTGACAATAGGAAGGCAAGTGCGAGCAAAAGAGCGTTGCTATCTGGGCTGGCGCCGCAAGACTTCGCCGGGGGTGAGGTGGGGAAGGGTTCAACTGGCCTCTTCCGTTGCTATTTTCCGTCTCATACGCCGGTAAGCATGCAGTAGTGACGGCTACTGTGGTGGCTACCCGACAGAACTAGATCCTTATCCGACGGAGCACCACATGCGCGCTATGCAAGCTGCACTAGGTATGTATTACTCTCCCGTTGGGTGCTAGGTGCTGTGTCGATGAGACCCTCAGATATACACGTTCGACATTGCATGATCGCCCACAGGCATTATTCTCCTCGGATGGTGGTACTTACCGCCCAATTATGCAATGCACGTCGGTGTGTCGTAGTTGTCTGCTTGGCAGTGACCACTCAGCCAGACCTAGCTTGTTTCTGATGGAGGGGAAGATAATAGCGTCACGGCTACTAGTAGGTTAGGTTAGTATCTAGTCTGAGCGTAGCTTCCTCTTCTGTCTTTGTCGTTGGTTCAGAACCTTGACCGCTGTTTGTTTCTAGATTGCAGTTGGACCGTGGGCAGAGGGTCCCGCAGCAACAAACCTTCACGTGAAGTGTTGGTTGCTCATCCTTTCTCAGATAATGCTAGGTCCGCATAAAATGACAAATCAGAGAGGGGCTCCAAGTCGTACCACTCTTAGTTAGTGAAAAGGTCTGGGGACCTTCATGGGGGCGGCTGCCCGATACCAGTCTGCACGGTTACATTCTTGGCTTTGCATCGGCGTTTCGGGAGGGAGGAAGCTCTGGCGCGAGAATGTTGGACCGGCTTACCGTCGAGGCTGGGAGAGCTTCGCTTCTGGTTCGGAGCAGGGGCAGAGGGCAGGATTGTCGCATGGCCTGCCAGAAAAGACCCAGACCCGTGTCGTCGGTCCCCCTCTGCCTTGGCGAGGGCAGGGAAGGGGACAGCGCCCTGGCCTGAGACAAAAATCTAAGAACTTGTCTGGCTTTTGCTAGCTAAAATAAACCCAAAGGCTGCCTCCTGTTGGCGCTAGTTCTGTCAGATGGCTGACCTGGGGGCGGCTCCTGTCCATGCAAACCCAGATGGTGACAGTCGCTTCAGCCTCTCGCAACTGGGCAAAAACCTCAAAACCAAGGGCGTGGAAATTGCCTTGCGACCTATCAGTTCGGATTGCCATGGATAGTAATGGCTCAAGGCTTCGGGGACATGGATGTTTGATGATGAAGACTGCCTGGTGAGTCGAGCTCCATGTCCCAATCTCGCCGGGCTACCTCATTCTCATTACTTTTGATGACTTATTTTGGAATTGATTCTCCCAACTCGGTACGTAGTGGTCGACCCTTGGCACCGGCGACTTATGAATGAAGGCTATCAAGATATACTCATATTGTCTCGTCGCTAGTAATAAGTCGACACCCTGGTCCTTAATAAGCGGCTTGGTCCAGGGGTATACAAGAAGGTGTGGTGAACGAACCGTTTTTTGATGCTGTGGCAGGGAAAGTGAACCGTTTCAAAGATCGGCCGAAATGCCACGGAGCCGTTGATGCAATGGCGTAGCGTGTGTCACAACCCAACCCAGTTGCATTTCATTTCAATTGGTCTTGGGAGGCTGGTCGAAATCTTGATGCGGCATAAAGAACATTCACCTTTGGCCCCCCTCTGAGCCAGTCGGCCAACATGGCGAAAGCCCATATACTTCTGCTTAGATAAGCCAGCTCTGCACTGGACTGGGTCTGAGTACCAGATGTCACCAAAGTACCTTTCTGAGTGCGGTCTCGTTTATTGGTGAAGACTGACAATAATATAAGCCATCACGAGCCTTGTTGAAAAGCAGAAGCGTAGCGGGCGAACGGATGCTGACCAGCTGTAGGAATGGACACTATTGCTTGTCTACAGGAAATACTCAAGGACCACGCATGTATTCCGCATGTGTTCGAAAGAAACGCGAGCCCGCGACCGCCGTTAGGACGCTAGCTGAGCATAATACATTATGCAAGGCAGACAGGGAACAGCCTGCAACGCGCGCTGGGAGGTTGGTAATGCGGGGAAGCACCCTTCGGCGAACAGGTTCATCGTTGTACAAAACCTTGGGAGGCGTTTGGAGCAGCGATTCTGATAGGAGGAGCCTTTTTTTCCACTCGCCGCGTCGCCCATGTCTGTCAAGCTGACCATGACAGCAGAGAATGTGACCTCGCCACGTAGGGACCAGATCGATGCCTCTCCCTGTACATAGTATCAGCTCCAGGCAAAGCGGAGATGCATCAACCCCCCAAAAATAAAATGGAAGGTATCTTGCGGCACGAGGCGATAGCCAGTCGGCTGGTGGCATAATACAGTAGCTTACCTGGTACTAGGTTGCGAGTACCCTGGGGGATTCGGAAAGGCAAGGTTAATCTGGCCGAACATCGTATGACCAACCTCCAGCAGCTGGAGCTTGATTTGGACAGTCGTCACACCAGGCGGGTGTGAAGTGAGAGTCTGATGGCGACTGTTGACAGATCCAGGTAGGAGGCCGATAAGCCCGATGCAGAGTAGCGGCAAGTTGCAGCACATGCACCAGGCCCGAACGGTGCATCGCATACGAAGGCAGGGCAGGCTGCGGATGCTATCACATCGTATCCAGGCCAGCTGGCGTAGGAATACATACAACTGCAACCTTGATCGCGACAGCATTGGCTGTCACTTGCTTGGGGAGGTGGTGGATCAGGATGGATGCTGCGCTGTGCTGACTCAGGCAAAGGCGAGCAGAGGCAAGTGCGATACATCTGTGATGCGATTTGGGTGACTTCTGCTTTTCCATGCTGCCAACGGGACGGCTCGTGAGGAAGCTACGTACGGCCTAAGTTACATCCTCCCCCCCTTCTGCCCCAATAGGCTCTAGGGCGCGGTTTGCTGTTGCGGTACATCCAGGTACCGGCGAGCATTTCAATGGAGACGGCCATTCAACCAGCCAGAAACCAGCACATGACATTTGCACCTGTCACGAGCGTATGGACGAGGCCAATCATGGAGTTGGCCGTCTGCTGCGTGACGCCAGCTGCACGGGCGGCGGCGCTATCACTTGTCATACGCAAGAGCAGCGATCATAAAAGCCTGTGAATTATTAATTCCCACATCCTACCAATCTTATCAAAATGTGGTCATGTGGTTGGTTCCCCCCTTCGGGTATTTGCACCCATCCAGGCTCCGAGCTAAGCCCGCTGGATTTGCACCATCACCGACGCCAAGCACACACGCGTTGTAATAGCGGGAACGGTAATGCGGTGTTGAGAGAGCCAATGCTGTGAACCACGTTGTTATAATCAAAGCATGTATGAGTCCCTGACGTATTTGGATCCAGCGGGGAGTCAGCTTGGCCATGTACTGGACCATGAAAGATTCCCGAGATGAACCTGAGCCGAGAGTTTAAATGTACTTGCGCCTTGGCTGCTGTGGCTACCCACGTTATCCCACCCGGGTGATTGACACGTCTGTTGCGATCATGTGACTGTGTCGAGTTACGTCGCAGGTAGTACAACCAATCATTAGGTACGTCCTTCCACCTGTACTCTCATGCTTTTGAGACATACTCTATTGTACAAAGTCACCGATGATGGAGGAGTGGGTGTCCTGCTGCTGGACGGGAGCCAAGCAAAAAGAACATAAAAAGAAGGGCTTGATCGGGATATTGGCTGATTGGCTGACTACTGTTAGTATTGTATCTGTCCAGGTCTTACCCTGAGTGTCTAGTGCAGGTCAAAGGCATGCGGAGAGAGCCTCCTCTCAAAGGCACAACCAGGCTAGACCATGGCATGACATAGTAGTTACGTATGTGACTATTACTGCTGCATTGATGACTTGATAAGGATGTGAGAAGCTGCAGGGTAACGACTGATGAAAGAGCAAGGAATAAATCCCGCCTGCTCGTCAACAACTGCTCTGGTTGGGTTAGGGATCAGCAAGAGCCTTGAGATTATGTAGACAAAGCTCTGGGCGTAGCTGACTGGGGAGGATTGCCATGATACTACATCGTAGATACGTTGCCTTGTGTCCAGGGCATCTGGCTGGATCGAAGTCGCATCGAAGCATATAGCCTGAACGTAATTAGGTAGGTCTTGGGGTGTCTTGGAGCTGCTCCATGATGCTCAAACAAAGTGGGTCTTCCGCTACCACCTTGCTGCCCTGTGTCCCTGGAAATTATGGCGTGTCTTGGTGCCTCCCACAGCGGCCATACCCAAGTCGTGTGCCATGCCAGGCTGTCAACGGCCTGGCTAACACTTCCTGAACAGGCAAACGTAGGCAATGGCATATGAAAACGCCAAACTCTGGGGATGTAGCACTTCCCCGGACGTGGTCTCAGCGCTCGAGGTCTGCGCTTTGGACACTCTCCTCCCAGCTCCAAAGCTCGAGCAATGCCATGGATGCAATAAGAATTAGTGGATTGTTTGTGTGTTTGCGGCCCGGACTATGAAATTATTAATAACTGCGATATATTGATACCTCCACTGTTGCTGTTTGGGGCCTCCACACCACCACCAATAGCCCTGAACCAGCCTGACCACCACTACCTGCCACCACCCTCAGTGCGCTTCTCTCGATGACAACGTCTCCGCTTGCCCTCAGCCGCAATTTTCCCACGGTGGAGTGCCCGCCTTTTGCTCAAATTGCGGTGTTGAATGCTTTTGCAGTTGACGCGATTCGCGCTGGAGGCAGTTTATGCCTCACATGCCTCGCCTCAGAGACTCTCACCGACATGAGGATGGAACGGTGTGCTAATTGTCAGCGCGCTCACTAGTTGTGGCTGTTAGACTGGGGAAGAAGGTGAATGCACAATTATCTGAGAGATGATATCAGTGTGTCCAACAAGGAAGGACACCCGGATCGGTACCGTCGGTCAGCCCACCCAAGCGGTAACCACACAGAGGTGAGCAGTGAGGCAAGCAGAGTACGTACCGGCCTGGGTAGGTACCTCTCCCCAGCAAGCCAACAGCAAAATGGATGTGCGTGCGACATGAGGTTCCGCCCACCCAGACACCAACAGGAGCAATGCGGCGTCAAGGGCGTACCATGCCTCGACCATCCCCTGGCCCGTGTTTGGCCCAAGCCGAATGATCTTGAGCAGCCTCAGGCACCCACCCTCGACCCCACATGCGATGGCCGCTCGCTCTGTCTAGGAATTGCGGCTTGTCGATGGCTGGCTCCGGGAGACAGGTTCTGCCTCCTCGACGCCCAGCACCGACGCCTATCCTCCCGTCCCAGGTAGCCGCTACGACATGGAACGAATGGATCATTGCAGAGACAGGGTCGCGCTGCTCGTGATGGAGCTCGAGATATTGCAATGGGGGACTCTTGGAGGAAAAAGAAAATAAAAGAGGACCCCAAAGTCGCACCCTGGCCTGGTACCAACGAGCGCGTGCTATTTGGACTCGTGGAGACCAGGGCCCTCTGCGTGCGCCAAAAAGAGCTCGTTCAAACCCCCTTCTTCTCATTCTGAGAGGCTACCTTGGTTCTGTCACCCCCAGTTGTGCCAAGGGTCCGGGCCAGACCATGATCCTTGTTGGACATGGCCTCCCAGGCCAGCACCAGCACCCTCGTCGAGCGTAATTGTAGGTCTGCTGTCTCACCTCTCACGTTTCCGCCAGATCTGGTCAACGTCACTTTCGCCGGCTGGCCATGGTCGCCGCATTTCCTCGCCGCCCGCCTCCGTCCTGCTCCGTTTGTGTCGCCCAGCCAAACCACCGTGCGTGGAGTGGAGTTTTAGTAGCTTCAGACTCCTGCCCGTCAACCAGCTCGCCAGTGTCTCGCCCGCGACTCATTCAACGTCGACTGGCCTCTCTTCCCTCTCTTCCCACACCCCCCCAAGCTGCTGATCTCACTCGTACGAGACCCAGCAAAGGAGCTTTGGCTCCACCTTTGACAGTCGGACCTCCATAGTAGTACAGTACCGCTGATTGAGCTGGTGCTGGTGCGGAGCTCTGTGTGTTCGAGCGAGTCCGAGGCAGACGGAGACAAGCTCCATCCATCTCTGCCCAACTGCAGATCCCTCGTCGCCGTAATATCTGCTCTGGCCGGTCGGTTCGTCTCAACCTGCCCTGCAGCCTGCCCGCCTGGTACCTACCCTGCCCTGCCCTGTCGTGCCCGCCCTGCCACCTTTCGCCTCCAAGAGAGGCCTTCTGTTGGGCTCGGCTATTGCGGGGGACCCATTGGCGTGTGTACTGTGCGCGCGTGCTGAGCTGGACCTGGCTTCCGTTCTGACACATCTCCTGTGGTGTTGCCCTCGTCTGGTTTGCTAACCTCTCCCGCCCGCCAGTCCAAGCAAGCTTGGTCGGCCAACTGCGTGCGCGCGAGTCAAGCCAACCCCAGAAGCCCGGGCTGCTTGGGACCCAATCACGGACCTCACCCTCTCGTCTGCCGATACGTACTGCCAGACGTTTACCTTACTGTGCGCTCTTGTAGCTTCTCGAGCCTCTCCCCAGATACCCTTCTATGGCCGGCCATCACTCTGTGGACCCTGCTTCATCTAGTGCCTCGCCTCGTCCGTCCTCCGCTGAGTATGCGTCCGTGTTCTGCGCCTGTACATATATAGTACCCCAAGTACGTACAGCGTTGCCTCCTACGCATCATGGAGCCAGCACCTCCAGACCACCAGCAGCGTCACCGTCTCTCATGGTCGTCGACTTCTGGTCCTCACGGCGGCGTCCCATCGTTGCCGCGCCCCCATAGCTCGACGACGAACCCTCTTCCTCTTCCGCGCGTGCATAACCACCCGCAGCCGCCCTACGCGTCCTTCACGCCCCGTCCCGCCGACCTTCACTCTGCGCCGCCTACTCCGGTTCATCCCAGTCCGGTGTCGCATCACCCCGAGCCTGATCGTCGCCATCATGATCAGGAGCCTTACGCTCCAATGCATGATCATTACCAACCGCAGCAGCAGCAGCATCACCACCACCCCGTCTCCCCAGCGCAAGGGCATTACCAGCAGTCCTATCCACCTCGGGATCCGTCTTTGGTGAAGAGGGAACCTCACGACGACTCTCGGCGCTCGAGTTCGACGGGGCATGCGACCGATATTTCGTCCGGACAGCACCCGCCGACCCCCCATCACTCCCTCCCGCCGCCTCCCGCATACCCTGATAACCAGCCTCGACACATGAACTACGACAACGGCCATCCGGTGCCGGGAGGCTATCGGCAACCCAGCTATCCACCGCCGACTCCTGTGGCACAACAAGCCCAATATGAGCCACCGCATACATCATATTCCAACAACAGCGATCCATACTACTCCGTGTACCCCTCTAGCATTCCCGCAAAGAAAAAGAACACGCGCGCATCTCAGGTCGGGACCCTCCCTATATATGCGCCGGAAGCGCTTGTCTACCTTGTGAATGAAATTGAACTGACAATTGGGGGGCACAGGCTTGCGATCAATGCCGCCAGCTGAAAGCAAAATGTGACGAAACGAAGCCGTGCAAAACTTGTCGAGACAAAGGTCTTGAATGTCGATACCGCGACCCGGTCCCAAAAGCGTAGGAAAATCCTATCTGGACCACGGCGCATAAGTATACCTGGCTGACAAGGACCATAGCACGGACAAGGCGCAGGCCGATATTTTGGAGGGTATCACCTCAATGCAGAACACCTTGGTCGCTCTGGTCGAGCGTTTCGACAGAATGGACAACAGGTTAACGACAGTGGAAAAGGCATTGAAAGGAGGCGCCCTGTCTCACTCAGCGCCGATGTTGGTACCGATTAAAAACGACCCTGTGGGCGAGGAGGAAGCAAAACCGGTGCAACAGTCGCCGATTGTCAATGGTCATGTTGGTGGCGGGCAGCCGGGGTATTATCAGCCTCAGCCGCAGCCACCGCAACTTCACTTACAAACTCAGCCTCAACAGCAAGCACAGGCAGAGGCACAAGAACAGGCACGGGCGCAGGCGCAAGCACAAGAACAACAAGCACAGGCACAGGCACAGGCGCAAGCGCAAGAACAGGCTCAAACGCAGGCGCAGACACAGGCGCAGCCTCAGCAACCCCCGGGGCCAGACGACCCTGATTACCCGCCCGCGACGCTCCCCGCGATGAACGAGGAAGAAGCAGAGCCTGAACCTGGCCGACCAATACCGCCTGGTGAACCTGCGATTCCGATGAACCACACTACGCTGGCCGGCCTCCTGCTGGAATGGCCCTCGATCCGGGAGTTGACGCGGAAGCATGTTGAGAAGGTGGGAATTCGCTATATTTCTGAATACCCTATTAGCGTGGAGCAAAGCCGTGGGCCGTTGCTGGTTTATGGACGCGGAGAAGATAATCACAGTTACCGACATATCGTCAAAGAACCCGAAAATCATGGCACCGTGGACATTGCCGATGACAATTCTTCGGATATGGCATCGCCGTCACCTGCCGCTGATTTTGGACTTGTTGGAGGTTTAAGTCCGCCGGATATGGTCGAGTACAAGGGAGGTGTACTGGCCTTTGATGGCACTCCTGATTTTACTGAGTTGAAAGTCTGGGCATATGTGGAGAGTTTTAAGGATCACATCCTCAATATGCATCCGATTATCACTCCAAAAACTCTGGAGAATTGGGTTCGACAGTTTCTGGATAATCTTCCCATGTCGCACCCGCGATCGGCTAAACCACAAGCCGTTAAACCAGCTTTTGCATTTGCTTCCACGCCAACGCCAACGCCGACAGAACAAACCGGATCAAAGCGCAAGCGCTCCCCTGGACCTGATGGAAGCGAGACTCCGATGACTCCCGGGCCGATTAGGACTGGAAAGCCAACCCGTTCAGTTCACAGTGCACTCGTCCTTACGATTCTCGCACTGGGAAAGATTTGTATGCATCGAGACAACATCCCTGATGTAGTTCACCCTCAGCCTACGTCTGACTCTGGTTCTCACGGAAGCCCGAGCATTCGTAATGGTGTCATCCCGCCATCTTCACCTAGCCAAGGATCTCCTCCCGGTCCTCATTCTTACTCGCAGTCTCCAGCCCAGGCTTCACCCATGGACCAAAGCGGCCGAGGGAGCCACAGCAGGCGGCCATCCATACATGGGACCTCCGGCCACACTCGCCCAGGCTATAGCCTGAAGAAGAATTTTGATGTGATTCCAGGGCTGGAATATTTTGCTTATGCCACTGACATTCTGGGCAATCTTACTGGTTCATACAACAACATGAAGAATGTGTATGCCAACATTTTTGCCAGTCTTTATCAGGGACAGCTGGGTCGGCCTCTGGAGAGTTTTGCCTTCATCCATAAGGCCAGCCATCAGCTACAAGTTCTCATGCGACCGTAAGTTTGTCTTCTACTCTCCCTTTCAACGTCGTGCTAATCATCTTTGCGTTTTAGGAGCCTTGATAAATTGCAAGCTTTCAAGAAGAAAAACGAATTTATTGTGCAGCCAAAGTACAATAATCTTGCGCTGGCTTTTTGGACGTGCCTTCAGCTTGAGAGGTAAGACTTCACACCATGACTGTGATTCTCGAACTGCTACTGATCGTCGAACCAGTGATCTCATCGCCGAGTTCCCATTGCCACCATCTGGGTTGCTGTCGTACGAAGACGACATGCCGCATCCAAGTATGATTCTCATGGCAGGCTTTGACCAGCGAATTCTGGACAGCTACCCGGGTCAGTTATATCTCAGGACCCACTTGAATAGCATTCATCGCATGTTCTACGCGCCTGATGATCCCGATGGGTCCATCAACGACAACAAGTTCCAGAATGTGGATTTAGTTGCGGATGCCGTATCGGGCATGCACTGGGTCGCGCCCAGTTTGTCTTTCAAGGAAGACGATCCGCCCGGCGAAGATATCCTGTCAGCTCGCCTGCGGGCTAAGTACTGGGGTGCACAAGTCATCACGTACCGCCCCTTTGTGAGGCAGATTCTTCAATTTTCGTACTCAGTTAAGAATGGGGTACAGGAAGATGAGGACGACCCCTCATCAAGATGGTCGGAGTTCCGATCTGGCATCATTGCTCCGTTCATTCATCCGGACACTAAGTCGTTGAAAGAGATTCCCGCGGCAATGATCGAGCTGGCTCGTAAGGGTATCAATGCGTTGATTGAGAGCACCAGGGCTTTCCATGGCCTAGGCGACCAGCGCCCTATTATCACGAATGTGTTCGGAACCGCTCATGCGTAAGTATATCGAAAACTATCTGCGCCGACTTGATTTCTAGGCTGCTAACTTTGGTATTAGACAATGGGGAAACCTCCTTGTTCTCTCTGCTGCCTTCAAAGACCCTGTTCTGGGGCGTTTTGTTCCAGAAGATTTGCTGAAACACCTCTTCCATAAGACAATTGCATTTCTCAGACAGTCAGCTACGGCAACAAGCTCTTTGAGGTTTGACATGATCATCTTGGAGGGCTTGCAACGAGACCTGTTCTCCCCTCCTGAACCTCCTCGAACAAACTCTAGTTTTTCAAGCCACGCCAGTACGACCCAACCGCGGGCTTCAGCGACTGCCACCCCCCATATGAGTCATGTAATACTCAATCAAGGCCATGGAACCCCGCCTATCTCACCAAGAATGCGGGAGCCCTACAACACATCAGCCCCTAATTGAGAGGGCTTTGGGAAGTTGAACATGATAGCGGCGTTATGGGCAAGACTCTCGCCTTTTTTCTCTCTTTGTCAAATCATTAACTGTGTCAACATGGCAACGGCGTTCTTGGATTGCAACAAGCACTTTTGAAAACCAAACAGAAGGCGGCGGAAATTTGATTTATCATTAAGCTGGGGAAGCATCTTTAATATAGTTACCGGGGATCGATTTGCAAACGAAAAGGATTCCGGCTCACACTCACAAGTTATGCATGTTCACAATTTTCAGCAACAATTTATCTTTTTGCCGGTCGTTTATAAGCAATTGCCAACATTGCGATAGCCACGGTTTTGCCAACTTTTGACGGCCCAAACTTATATCAGTCTAGATATTTTGGCCGATATGTCAATGCACATTTAGTTTTCCCCGAAGATGTCTCTACAAATCCATGTTTGTCTTTTTTTTTTTATCCTCATCAAGGTGCAAACCTGATCATTGTCGAGATCATGGAGAAAGGGTTTTGGTCCCAGTTTATAGATACGCACATCATTCTCTATATTCTCTTGGCTCTTATTTATTTCATGCTTTTTTGGGGTAGCATCTGTCTTATTGCATGTCTGTCTATTTGGTTTTCCGTTTACGAGCTTCAGCATACGGTACTCAGTCGGAATTGGATACCCAGGAGACGATTTGATTGATATGACGCGGTGGAAGTTGTGACGCGAGGAGAGAAGTTGGTTCAATTGGCACCAGCGAGGGGGGCAGCTCGGGGCTGAGTCACCGGGACCAGGCGCGGGTGTGATTGCTTTTCCTTGAATGATAAATATATAGTCAATGATCAATTTTCTTTCCAGACGTCTTTCCTTGTTGTGAAACAAACAGTAGATAGCTATCACCTTGAATGACCTATCATTTTCGTTGCTAAGGGTACTATCCACACTTAATGTCTTCCATTACCTGAAGTTTAGTGAAGGGATGACAGAAAAAAAATCTTGGGTCATTCCTCACGCCCATTCTCGCCTGAACTTCTCGTTGAAATCCTCTTGTAGGCATACAAAGGCCTTCAGCACGTTGGCCAACCCTTGGCCGTCCCGCTGCCACGCGGGTGCGTCCACATCACCATCGTTCCAGATCTTCCGCGCCGAAGAAGCAGTCTTCAGCTCGTCCCCCTCCTCCTCATCACTGTCATCCCAACTATCCTTCGGTGCAGCCTTCGGTTTTTTCACCCGTGCCTGTGTCGCCTGCTCCCTGTTGATCTCACGGGCCTCGGCCTCGTTCTCGCCAAACTCGTGCTCAACGAAGCTCTCCTCCTTGCCGTCCTCGCCATCCCCCCCCGCCTGGCTGCCCGCGAGGCCCTCGAGGCTGGACACGATGGCCGCAAGAGTCAAGGAGAAGTCCTTGAGGAGGAACCACACGTCACCGTCCTTGATGCGGTTGTCGCGCACGAGGACGCTCATGGAGGCGTGCTTGTAGAAGTCGTACAGGTAGGCGTTGTGCTCCGTGTCCGTCTCGCGGGGCCAGACGGGGATATAAGGTATGGCCGACTCCTCGAGGAAGACGCCGCCGCGGACGGTGGAGCAGAGGTCGTGGATCGACCTGAACGTGTCGTCGAATCCTGAGAGGGCGACGAACGGTGACCGGATCGTGGTGGGTGGTTTTCCAGAGGCGAAGAAGATGGGTTGGCGGGGTGTATTCGCGTCCCCTACGACTCGCCCTGAGAAGGGGAGGGTGCAGTCCGGTTGGTCGGCGAGGTTGTGGGAGATGTAGGAGCTTACGTAGCCTCTGAAGATTTTCAGTGTCTCTGCGTTGTGCTCAAGAAGTAGCTTCTCTGCTGAAACTGGCAGGCGTGGCAGGAAGACGACTGAGGAGGAGCGGTGTAGTGATTCGACGAAGGCGTCGCTTCGCTTGACGGGGATGCGGCAGAACAGGTGGCTTAGTACGAGCATCATTTCGAGCATGACTTCTGCACGATTGATGTCGATTCTGGCGCAAAGGTTGTGGAAATATCCACCCTTGAGAAGGGAATGGAACGCAAAGACGGAGTTTTCAGTGAAATAGAGATGGCCTATCAAGCCTGCAAAGTTGAGGGGCGCTCCTGTTTCCGACAGCAGGTAATGCCGTCGCAGGTAGTCGATCGAGAACCGCAAGTGATGCTTTACAGCCCCCTTTGCCTCAGGACCTCCTGCAAAGATTCGCGTCTGGGACAGAAGGGCGTTCATGGAATCGACTGCAAAGTCTCCGTTGTTGGTCCCATGAAGAAGACCGAATAACCGGAGGATGAGACTTGTTGAGATGCAGAACTGACCGCGGAGGTCAGGCAGTCGGGAGGACATGATCTCGTAGACGCGCTCTTTGGGGATGCCGTTGAAGACCACATTCCCCAAGAGGTCGAAGCCTCTACGGCCAGCTCGGCCGGATGCCTGTCGGTAGTTCTGGGCCGTGAGGAAGATCGAGTCGCCGCTGAAGATCACCGTCTTGCAGGGCATGTTGATACCGAGAGCCAGTGTGCCGGTTGCGACAACGAGCCTGAGGTAGCCTTTGCGGAAGAGAATCTCAACACTGTGAAGAGATCAATTAGTCATTACAATGCTCACTTGGAAAGAATCCGTGTCTGTAGCATCAAAAGGAGGGACATTGAAACCTACATTTGTCTGTATCGTCGATTGATACCTGCGTGATGAACACCAACTCCACGTCGGAGAGCCTCAATCATCCAACGTTTGAGGCTTTCGCCCTTCAAGTTTTCCAGGTGTTCGTTCAGCTCGGAAAACTGCAGTTTCACCTTGTCCGCGAAGCTAAACTGGTCTAAGGGGCCATCTGGGTCGAAACTCTCCCAGGGGCTGAGCTCGACATTCGCCTCTGATTGAACAATATCCATCTTTGACAACTTGTCCGCATCGCCATCCTTATTCTTTGATTTCTGAGAAGCCTTGGCCTTTTTCGACTCGTTCCCCGTCTTCTTTGCATTTCCTCGTTGCCATGCTTCATAGCGATCCATTGTTCGCTTCCATTCCGGGCTTGACTTTTTCCAGAGAGTCTCTGCCTCTTCCAGCCTTTTGACCACGATTTGTACTTGTATTTCGCATTCTGTTCGGTCATAGCTGAATGCCAGAGCCGGCAAGGCATCTTGTTCATGCAAATCGCAAGCCAATTCAAACAATGCCTTTTTATGGTCCGAAGGTTCACTGGATACTGTCACTGCACTTGGCTCTACATCCAAAGCCTGTCCTAGCTTCTTCTTGAGCCTTTCAAAAGCTGATGAATCTTGTTGAATTAGATGCAAAAGCCTTGACTTGAGGTTGTCCTCCCACTTTCTCACGTCGGACTTGGTAATGATAGTTGGCAAGGCTTTCGCGGGACCGTCAATTTCGTATTTTCGCATATCATCATCGGAGAGAGTCTCTCTCAGCTCCCTCCACAGGGTAAAGCAGTCCCTTGCCTCGAGGCTGAGATCGCCGAGGGCACCTCTATTTCGATCAATGAGCGCTGCGATAGGATGGATGAACTTCAGGTTCTGGCAGAGCTGTGGACCTTCGTCCAAACCCGGAACTGGCAATTTTCGTATCTTCCTCAAGCCCTGGAAAGAAGAGTCTTCGGATGGTTTGTAAATGAACTTCCTCAAATCCGAATAACGGACATCATGGACGACAAGCTTCATCCTGCGCCCCTTTTTCACCTGGGTTGCTTGGAGCCAATCTTGAAACTCTCCCGGATTTCCAATCGTGGCAGACAGCGCAATGATGGGGCACGGGGCCAGCAGCAGGAGCTGCTCCCAAACCACGCCGTCCTCATTCTGGCCGATACAATGGACTTCGTCAAAGATGATTCGCTTCACTCTCTTTGACCAAGCCCTTCGGCCGGTCGCGTTGGTGGGCGAGAGGAGCATGATCTGCAGCATTTGAGGCACGGTAACCAATATCTGGCACTCTGTGGGAGTGTTGACTCGGTAGTCTCGCGTGTGAATTGCCCAGACTGATTTGGTTGATACCTTTGACTTGCTGTAGTCCTTTGAGAAGCGTGCGTTGATCTCGGCGGCGATCTGATTAACCAGGGCCTTGGTCGGGGCTACGTAGACGATGACCGAATCATCGTCAGACTCCAGAATTTTCTTCATTGCGTAGAAGGAGATGAATGTTTTGCCCGCGGAGGTAGGTGCCACGACGATCAGGCTGTCATCCTCGTCAATGGAGTCAAGCACTTGTCTCTGCCACGCGTCGGGTTCAAATTGAACACGGTCATCTGGTCGAGAATCGAACCGCCGGTCCATGTACGGGCCAGCGTATTCGAGCTGCAGGGCTTGGGGATCAATCTGCAGTTCCTTCATCGCCCTCAGCGCCTCCAGATCGAATCGGAAAGGCAAACCTCTGCTGGGGGTAGAAAAGGGGAAGGGCAAAGAGGGCATCTTTAGATACTTATTCAGCCGTGTGAGAGCATCTGCCACTTCTGGCGTGAGCGACTGATTGTTGGAACACTTCCGAATACAGTTCCACAACATTGCGATAATATAGTATCCCCGGTGCTGAGTTGCGGGCGAGTTCCTGCTCATCCCTTCCATGCTCCAGATCTTGCATAGCACATTGCACATGTACACATCAACCTCGGAAACCAGAGCCTTCGTGCCCTCGCCCGACGACTTGCTCTGGGCAAATTTGAACGCTTTCCAGTAGCGGCTCACCAAGTCAGGGTCTTTCTCATACACGGAGCACTCCCTGTCCCAGTACTTGGCCTCGTCTTTCTGTTTCTTCAGAGTCTTGAGTTCCCGACACTCAGCCGCGGCTTTTAGAGCGCTTGCTCTACCACCGGTAGCTTTCTTCCCGTTGCTCTGCGGCACTGAGTTGTTGTTATTCTTCCTGTTGTTCAACGGCTTGGGCTTCTTCGAGGCTGCAATGATGATCTCTGGCTCCAGGGACTTGCCCTGTGCGTTGGTCAAACTGGCAGAGTACGCCGTCATGTCGGCCATCATCTTCTGCTGCCGCTTTCTGCCGAAGAAGCCGACCCTCGGAAGCATCCTGGGTAGAACG